GTAGGTAATTTGAGAAATCGTTCTCAGGGCTGGAAAGCTGATTCCTTGACAGGAAAAACATTAAATTCCACAGAAATATGTGTGTGCAAGGTATGTGTGTGTGTGAAATCTTGCACCTGGGTTATTTCAGCAGTTGACGGGTTGAAGGGAATTGTGAGATGACCTTTAGAGGTGGAGAGGGGGCTTTGAGGCACATAGAGTCAGTCGGAAGCCGGTCTATCCCTTCACATTTCCCTTTCTTCATCTATTCTTGACCTAGTCTTGGCCTCCAGATGCTTTCTCATTTCTTACCTTGTTGCTAAAATCTTCACATTTTAAGTAATATGCTTTAAGAGCATTTTGAACCAACCTCTGCCAACAACTTTATCCTGAATGCCCAGGCAGGTTCACTACTGAGGTTTAAGATCTAGTTCCCAAGCATGCCTTCATTTATTCTATCATTAGTTGATAAACACTTATGGAATCCTCTCCGGGCTAATACCAGGCATACACCAAGCTGAATTAGACATGTTTCTTGCCTTCTAGAAAAGAGATAGAGTTGAGCACTTTATTCTGTCCCTATGGTTTGAGAGAAGAAAAACACATTGAAAAATAACCTTAGGATTGCTAGTCCCTTAGGAAACAATAGAACGCTTTCTTAATATTCCTTAGCTGTTTCTGCATGCAGAGAGTATCCTCTCTCTTCTGGCTCATCTGCAGAGCAATAGATAAAATGAGTGTTAAAATAAGCATCTGTCACATTCAGCATAATAATGCGTTGGGTTCCTTTTGTACTTGAAACTGTTGTTACTGGTCGGATGTTTTCCCTTCTTCACACTTTTTCCCATAGCCTGACAATTATTAAATCTAGTATGATTTATAACATGGCTCAAATTATAGGAAGACTCTTAATGTCAGGAGCTTCTGTAAAATAATATCTCACAGGAAATACATGGAGGGGATTCCCCTCCCAGGACTGTGAAAGATTACATTGTCTTGGTTAGGGTTGTAGTACACCTGTGGAAGGGGATAACACAAAAAAACAAGTTCCTGGTCTTCCAAGTGCAATACCAACTTTACCTCTGTGGGATGGGTTGTGCAAGTCTAGATGAAACATATTTCCAAAATACTGACTGTTGCTTGTTTCCTTATAATGTGAGTTTCAGTACCCATGGTGGTGGGATTCCCCACTTTATTTTAGATGCTTGCTCTCACCCCAGCTTCAAATGTGCCCTAAATGAATACTACCATATGTACTTATGTACACATACTAATTAGGGTGAGGGGGACCCAGAGAAAGGGCCATGGGAATAAAACGGGAAGCAAAAGAGGAACAGGAGGTTATTGTTTGGCTCACTGTCTCATTTTGAAACTAACTCTACAGAGCTTTGAGGGAGCATGTTGCTGGTACATTCCCATGGAGGCATGTTTTTCTGAGACGCCAATGCTTTTAATTTTTGTCCAAGTAGTATCAAAGCATACACTGGTCATGTTCTCATCAGGACAGTTGGTTGTACTAGGAAGTTCATGTGTCAGTATAAAGATCGGCCCACATGACCTTTCTACTAAGAGACAGGAAAGGGATCACTGGTTTGCACCATAGGAACTGAGATAGGGAAGGTGTCCTATGTGCTGGTACTGGCTGAGCCTGCAACGTTTGAAAAGTCATTGTTATGACAACCCCACATGCACATCTAAATAATTTTTTGAGCCTCTGCTCCCAGGACTCTGGGAAGGACTGTATATCCTATTCCTGTGTTTGGAAGAAGACCTAGACATGGGGCAAAATGCTCCTCAGAACACTGACATATAGTTGTGTGACCCGGGGGGAAATTGAGTGTCTAGCAATAGAAAGAGGTTGCATTCTAGAGGAGGTTTAATTCTTAAAAATCAAAAGAATAAAAGCTGCCCATAAATACTAAATATTTTTTATTTTGGCTATATGCATGTTTTCCAATATTTATTATGGACTTTAAAAATATATATTGGTATCTGCCATAATCCATTCAGGAAAGGAGAAGCCATTCCAGGTATGTTAAACAGAAATGTTGAATATAAGGAATTAGTATTCTGGGGGTTAAGGAAAGTTAGTGGGCTGATCCAGAGATTACTGAAATCAGTAATTACCACTGCTTTGGGCTAAGGCAAAAACCTCAGGACCTGGGGGTGCAGATAAAGAACTGCCTTGGAGGAGTCTAGAGAGAGGCCGGTGTCATACAGCTGAAGCACACAGAGAGTGCACCTTAGCTGGCTGAAAAGTCAAGGGCATGATCAGGGCTCTTCTGGCGCTTCCAAGAAGGCAGGAGGGCTGGGTGTCTAGACTCTAGAGGGCATTCTGCATCAACAGGATGCCAACGGATGTGAGAGTCTTTGGTGTCTCTGCACTTTAGCAAAGCAGGGAATTAAAAAAAAAATCTTCCCTTCCCTCTCCCCCTCCCCCTCCCCCCTCCCTCTCCCTCTCCCTCTCCCTCTCCCTCTCCCTCTCCCTCTGTCTCTCCCAAAGCCACAGTTGGTATTTATAAATTCCTTTTTCTACCATATATTCAACATTCCCCTTCCCGTCAGCCAGATGGTCAGTGTTCCTTATCTGGTAAGGTGACTCAAAGCTTCATTCTTGAAGAATCTGAGTTCTTTTACAATCCTGTTCTCATTGGATATAATAAATTACAAATCAATAGCTTAGAAAGTCCTTTCAGCTCTGGATCTTTCCTACAATGCCAGCATTGTGCAGTATCCAACACAGGTAAACAGAATCCATCACACCAGCCAGAACATTGACCCTTCCTTTGTCTCTTGATTCAGTGACATGAGGAACCCATGACCAGATGGTAATCTCAGCTTCCAACTGAATGGAACAATTGTTATCTCCCTGTTAGATTCAGTTTCCTTAAGAAGTAAGTTCTCTAAAAGTGGAGCACAAAGCTATGAACAGAGAGAGCATAAATTTTCTAAGTGGGTTGTTAGGATGAACAGCCAAAGGAATTGTTTCATTTTTGCCTTTGTTCAGAACCATAGATTCTGATTATGGTTAAAAAACACTGTATATTGACCCACTGGCTTGGAGGATATACTGCGTCTTTTAGGATACTGATTCCACCTAATAGCGTGTTCTGTTGATAAGAACTATAACTGAATTGTTAGGTGGCCAGTCTGCCTTTCCCTCAAGCTGTTCTCGGTGCTAGTGGGAAGTGAGTGTAAGTCTGTTATTGCATGTGTTTGTGTGTGCATGCACACATATTTACTGTGAGTTGAGTTCCTTAGTGAGAGGCAATATTCTGTGAGATACTATGAAAGTAAATATGACAATTCATAAATCTGCAGATGGTGTGTTGGCAGAAAAGTATCACAAGCAGAGAAGACAAAGCAATAATCCAGAACTGTCACTTCCAATGGCAGCTCCTCTATGATTAAGGATTCAGTGTAGCTGGTGGCTGAAATGATGACATCATGGGAGCATAGTCCTATTGTCAGCTTGAGCACCTAGGGGACAGACCAGTTCATGGAAAGTTTTTCAGTCTTGCTGTCATGGTCTTTTGTACATGAATCTATTGAGTACATACTTAGTTGTTTGGAGGAAAAGGCTGACAGACCACTGTTTAATAGGCTGTCTTTTCTATGTGATTATTGAGGGCTTTGCGTGCAGCAGATGCCTGTGCGAACATTCCCATAGTAAACACTCTCACGCTCTGTGTAAATGTAAGAGGTATGTTTACGCACTGCTTTGTGGACAATCTGGTCATCTTTTCCTTCAAAATCCTTGATTGTCTGGACAAACCATTAGCCATAATCCAGGAAGCAATGTAGGTCCATCTACATTGGCCAAGACCCTCTTTCAATCCAGCCAAAGTAGATGATAAACTGTATTGCTTCAGGTGCTGCTCAATGAGAAGAATTTTCTTCCTTGGCATTTTCATTTGTTTGGTTTGGCATGGCTCTGAGTATGGCTATAATGGTCTATTTCTGATTTTCCCAGCTATGGAGAAAAGATGTAAGCTAGATCTTCCCTTTGTCATTATTCACAAAGAGCTTTCTGAAATGCCTAACACTGTAGGAGGGAAAGATTGTTCCGCTGCAGAAGGCCTCATAGGAGCCCAAGCCGTGGCACACGTGACTTCATTACTCCTGGCTTGGTTGGAGACTGATTTTTATGCTGTTACGGCAAGAAAGTTGATATATCCCTGAGCAAAGATGAAAATGTAGCTGCTGCCAGTGCTTTAAAACTGGCACAGAAGTCAAGTGTGGCGTTGCATACCTGTAATCCCAGCAACCTGGGAGGCTGAGGCAGAATGATTACGTTTTGAAACCAGCCCAGACAATTTAGTGATGTAGCAACAATCTAGGTAAAAAAAAAAAGTAAAAATAAATACTAAATATCAGGGGATATAGCGCAATGCTCTGAGTTCAATGTTCAATCCTCAGCACCAAAACAAAATAAATAAATAGGCACAGAGGAAAACAAAGTGTAGGTTAATCTGTGAGAATATAAAGTCATCACATAAAAGGTTGGTTTTGGGCCTGAGAGACAATAGAAAAATAGGAATATCATTTTTCACAATTAAAAGAATGTGATGTGTAAGGTAGTATCTGGGGACAGGCATAAAAGAGACTTTTAAAATATACAAAGTATGATTTCTGGATCTTCATTTAAGTAGCGTATTATATAACCTTTGTGGCCATCACACATAAACATTGTCATAGTCTAAGGATGATATGGTAAAGTATATGAATTAATAAATGCAAAACAGATTCTCTAAACGGCACAAGGTTATTGTTTACTTTAGTTCTCAAAATAGACTTGTAAAACAACAGAACTAAAGCTTATTTTCATTTTATAGATGAAGGAAGCTCATGAGGGCTTCTGTGTGTAGGAATTTTATTCTCACAGCCTATCAGTAGTATCAAATCAAATCAAGCCATCTTGATCAGTATAGTGTTAGGATGTCTGCATGTTTGCATAATTGAGATGTTAATTTGCATTTTCTGGCTTTATTTTTCCTCTTTTCCCCATCCACAAATCCTAGCTCAATGGGAATGCTTTGAAAAGCAGCCAGAAGCACAGAGAACACAGAAGACCCTCAAGGCTGAGAAACAATGGTGGTTTTTAGCTTGCTCTTGGAGTCGTGGACACACTGGCCCAGCCTCCTTGGAAACATCTTGTAGAAGAACTTGGAGAGGGATGACTTTGTGGTGCACCTGGACAGAAAGGATATTAGACCCTGAGCTCTCAGCCCTGGCAAAGATGGCCATGCTAAACTTGGCAGGAATCAGCAGGGCTGTCTGACCTGAAGTGATCGGAAGAGCTTAGACGTTGAGCACATGCATGGTGACTGGTATGAACTGAGAACAAGAGGACTCGGTCCAATTGACACACTCTGGGTAAGTTTCCAGGGACTTTTACATGTCACTGTGAGGCTCAGTAAGATGAGAGCACATGCAAAATATGTTTTGATTTTGGAACAAAATGAAGTATTGTGACATTTTCATAAGCCCTTTTTGTAGAGTAAAAGTCATACCGGCTGGTTGGATGCTTGTTTGGAAGGAGAAGCAAGGTAGCAGTGCTATGGGACTGTGCGTCTAGGTGTTAGAAAGCTCAGAACGTGCTTCCTACCACTGAGGGCTTAAAGGGAAAAGAACGGCCTTTTGTGTAGTTAAGATCCCTAGTTAGCAACTCACCATGCTCTCAGTGCATTATTTGGATGTGCCAGCGGCTGATTCACTTGGCCATTTGGAAGAGGGTGCTAATGAGGCCAAAGGCAGGCTTCTCATTCCATACAGCCAAATACACTCAGTGAGAGACCTCAGCCCCAGTCTCTGCAGATTAAGTCCCTTACCCCGCCCCCAGCAACTGTTTCACAAATACACATGCAGGTTAGGGAGGCCAGGTGAGAGGGTGTGGATGAGTCAGCACAAAGCCTCTCCTCTCCAGGGGCAAAACTCAAAACAGTCTGTTGGTACCTGGAGTCTGAGTGTTTCCAAAATAAGGAGCCTTCTGCTACTGTGAACGAATTCACAAAAATGTGGCAAACCATAGCTTCTGAGGAGAATCTCACAGGGTAAAGAGCTCTATCCTTGGCTGGTCTAGTGCCATATCCATAACAAACATTTAACCCACTATTTAGTCATACTAGTGTGTAATTTTCAAAGATAATACAAGAATTTTGAGTTTTGCAGTGCGGAAACTGAACCCAGTGCCTTGTGCATTGCTAGGCAAATGCGGTACCATTGAGCCACACCCCACTCCTGGAAATAATTCAGATTTTAAGAAGCATGTTTTAAAACCTGTAAAATAAAAATGAGGCTTCTAAAATTACACTTAGAATAAAACTTAGAAAATAAATGATAATCAGAACATATGTAATATTTCCATGATATTATTTGTTGGTTAATGGCTGAGGATTGACTGAATCCAGGGCTTCATGAGCAGGTCCTCTACAGCTGAACTGCATACATCCTAGTCTGAGATTGTTTTCTTGTGCTGTAATTTACATACTGTGCACAGATCCTCAGCAGTCAGATCAAGGAATTTTGACAGTCATCTGCAATCCTCATCTGGCACTCAAAATAAGATATAGAGCATTGCTATCATCCCAGATAGTTTTCTTTTCCTTCTTCCTTCTCTTTCTCTAGCAATCACTATTCTATCATAGATTAGCTTTACTTTTTCTTAAGCTTTGCGTGGAATCAATGGTATGTGCCACTCATTGCCTGGGTTTTTTCACTCAACATAATAACATTTTTGAGTTTCATAAATGTTGTTGCCTTGTGTCATTAATTTATTCCTCTTTATTTTGGTAGTAAGATATGTTTACTCATCGTCCTGTGAATGAAATATTTGGTTGTTTCTTGTTCTATATTTTCATGACTAAGGCATTTTTACAGTTTCCTAAAATTACTGAAGTTTATGTTTAAATTCTCATTTTTCGTGCTTTGGCTTTGAGAAAAAGTTCTTTATGGGAACTCCTACAGAGTGTTTTCTTCACTTTGGTTTGATTGTCTTTAATTATTATGCAGATTCATAAGTTGAAAAAAGTCACATTGTTCTAAATGATTGAAAAACGATATGGACAGTGTGTAGGTGTGGTTCTTCCCATCTCATTGTCATTATTCAGTTCAACTTGAACTCATGACCTCACGCTTGCCAGGCAGGAACTTATGCCGCTGAGCCAAATCCCCAGACCCACTGCTACTTAAACCTTATGTGATTTCCAATAAGTTCATTCCATAATTATCAACCTATTTATTCAACATACATTCCCCAGATTCCTCTTCTATATTGCTGAGCTCACCATCTGTCATACCACAGATTATATTTATATCGAAACTCCAGACTACGCTCACTGGTTTTGTTTTTTTTGTTGTTGTTTGTTTTTGTTTTTATTTTTTGAGACAGGGTCTTGCTATGTAGTTCAGGCTGCCCTTGAACTCACTATGTAGCCCAGGCTGGCCTCCAACTTCCAGCAGTCCTCCTGCCTTAGCTTCCTGAGTGCTGGGATTAACGGTGTGTGCTACTACATGCAACTCAGACAATGCTTGCTGTGCCTAGCACAATGCCTAGTACATAGCAGCAACTAAATAAAGCATAAGTGGTGGCTGGGAATTTAGCTCAGCGCATAAGCACCTGCCTTGCAGGAGTGTGATCGTGGTTCAATCGCTGGTAACACACAGCAGTGAAACTTGAATGAATAAAGGGACTCTACATTTAATGTGGAGGTTGACCTGAATGCAGACCAACTGTTCTGGAAGAAGTATAATGGTAAAACCATGGTGACTGTGGATATTTCTTGCTTCTCCTAGAGCCGACCTGGTCGTGTTACTGTAGTAGCACTGTCTCCACATACTGCAGTTGATCTAATTAAGACTTTTCCCCTTCATTTCAGGGGCAGAATGGCAACTGTGGCCTATAAATTTGTTATCTCTAGGATTCAGCCCATTACTTGGCACTCAAAAAAAAGCTACTCTTTCTAAGTTTGCAAAAGAAAATTGCACAGGAGAAGGGACTTTGGGGGTGGGTTTTGGTAAAGAGGTCTGAATGACGGTACTCCAAATAACAGGAAACAAGTTATCGGTGGAGGTTTTAGGAATGCTAATTGTTTTGTCTCTTAAAAAGGTCTTCCCGTTTGATAGTCCCAAATGACCATCATAATTTTGAATCTGTTTTAGCAGTTTAATTTTTTTAGCAATTTAGTTTTTAATTAACTTCTGAAAAGCCCTTCAAACAAATCTACACAGCAAAATGGTCCTGTGCCAAGATTTTTTTCTTAGAGAAGATTATATTCTTGCCATTTAAACATTTATTTCATTTGAATGCTTTAAATACAAAAGATATAACAAAAACAAAATAGTTCCCTAACATTTCAAAAAGGCTTTTATCCTGAATAGAATAAAGAAGGAAATTATTATTATGATTTTTAGTCAATCTAGGTAGAAGAATGATCTATTTATTAAATTAAGTGAATTTTCTCTTCATGATTGATAACCAGAGCCTGCCAATTCCATTTATTGTTGGAGATTCTGTGTCCTATTTGTTTGATAAAAATGTTATTAACAAAGAAATTAGAATCTTTTTATCATGTAGATAGAAATTTTATGTAAAGATTCAGGAATAGGGTAATTTAGTGATAGTCCCCCCTCCCCTTTTCTTTCTTTAGATTTACAGGCATTGAGTAACTTGTGTGGGAAACTGCTCTGATTGAATGTTGGAGGTCATCTTTTGGTAACGTGGTACACAATGGTTCTAGGCATTATAAATTCTAAGATGTAAATTACAGGAGCTGTGAAGATCAGAATGATTCTCTCAGGCATTGCATTGTACAAAGGAGCAGAGTGGAAATGTCATCATTTATGTTTTCTTGTGGAGATCATCATCTTGATTCTTTCCTTCCTTACTTTGTATTAGCAGATTTTGACATAAAAGAAATCTCATATTCTTGGTACATATAATGAGGAAGCCTAATATTTCAGAATTCAGAATATAAGTTTCTCTCCACTCCTTTAATAAAATTGTGAAGCCTTTAAAAATATTAATTAAGCTTCACAATGATTTGATCAATTCAAAAACATAGTCATGAAGTCTGCACTTGACTTTCAATTACTATATGTCCCAGCAGACAAAAAGTCCAGATAATAGATACCACAGACAATAGCCAAACCATTTCTACTCAAGGAACAATGGCACAGATACTTTTTAAAATGCAGCAAATCCAAAATACTTTGTTTTTGATATTAGACTGCATAGTATGATTTTAAAAAAGGAAACTGCATGATTTACTATCAAAATAAAGCTTTATTTAAAAATACTGCTGTTAATTAAAACTCTCTGTATATACTAAAAAGGAGGAGCGTGGGATCGTGATGCCACCTGCTTTGCTTTTATTACCCAGCATTGCTTTTGCTATTCTGGGTTTCTTCTTATTCCATATAAATCTTAGGACTATTCTCTGTAGCGCTGTGAGAAATGACATTAGTATTTTGATTAGAATTGCATTAAATCTGTGGATCAGTTTTGGGAGTATAGCCAATTTGGTTATATTTGTTTTGCCTATTTAGGGACAAGAGATATATTCCATTTTTTTGATTTCCTCTTCAATTTCCTTTTCAGTCTGATATAATTTATGTTGTAGAGGTCGTTCACTTAGGTTAATAACTAAGTATTTTAATTTCTTGAATGATGTTGTGAATGGTATTGTTTTTCTAATTACTTTTTCAGTGAGTTAATTATTAGTATCCAGAAATGGAATTTTTTTGCATATATAAGTATATATATATATATATATATATATATATATATATATATATATTTGTCTTTTTGAGAAAAGGTACTATGCAGGTCAGGCTGGTCTTGAGTTCACTTTGTAGCGCAGGCTGGTCTGGAACTTGCAAGGGTCCTCCTGCCTCAGCCTCCTGAGTGCTCAGATTACAGATGTGCACCACAATTCCTATTCATTTGCTAGTATTTTAAGGATTTTGCATCTATGTTCATTAGAGAAATTACCTGTTGTTTCCTTTTTTTGTTGGATTCTTGTCTGGTTTACAGATGAAGATAATGTTAGATTCTGAGAATGATTTTGGAAGTACTCCTTCCCTCTCAATTTTATTAAAAGTTTGAGGACTATCGGTATTAAATCTTCTCTGAAGTTCTTATAGAATTTGCCTGTAAATCCACTAGGTCCTGGACATTTCTTAGTTGGTAGGTTTATTATTCTTATTTAAATTTAATTGTATGTTATTGGATTGTTCAAGGATTTTAAATCTTCTTAGTTTAGACAGTTCGTATGTATCTAGGAATCTGCATTTTTTCTGAGTTCTCCAATTTCTTGGCATATGTATTTGTGAAGTACAGTAGTTGCTAATAATTTTCTGGATTTCAGCAGTTTCTA